ATTCCCCACCCCGTTTTCCTACCGATCGATCATTCTTTATTTGGGATTGCAGGATACCGTCTCCAGCTCCATTCTCAGGGGGAGAGAGAGAGACTTTTGGCTTCATGCAAGAAAAGCAGCAGAAGCAGCAGAAGTCTTTCTTTCTTTCCCCCAAACTCTGCCAGAAATGAGTCTTTGCCGGCGCAGCCTCTTGGAGCAGGAGGCCCTGCAGGGTCCCAAAGACTCATTTCTGGTGGAGTTTGGGGGAGAGAAAGTAAGACTTTTGCTGCTTTCCTTGCATGCAGCCAAAAGCTGAAGAAGAAAGAAGTGGAAAGAAGCAGCCCAGTGGCCAGGCAAGGCATGTGGGGCAAATGGAGCAAGTTTCCCCCCCCCCCCCGCTCTTTCCCCCTTCCCCTCACTTCCTCGTGTTGTTCACAATGCAAACAACGCAAGCTTTGTGCTCCCACGGGCCATGTGGGTGGTGTAGCTTTGCGTTCCCACACAGTCTGGATTAATTGCTTTGGGAGGGGACATTTCTCTGCGGACCACCAAAATTTTCTCATGGACCACCAGTGGTCCCCGGTCCACCAGTTGGTGACCACTGCCTTTGATGACTTTAGGCCAATCATTACATGACAAGGTAAATAATCACACAGGATTGTCCTAAGGGTAAAGTAGAAGAGGGGATCTAATCCTATATAATGTCTTGATTTTTTTTTAAGGGGAACAAAATTAATCAATTTCCTGACATAACCACATATTCTTGTCCAAGGACATAACACCTCTTCTCTTCCTGGTTTAGTCATACCAAGAATCCTGAGATCACAGAGGTTAGATCAGAGGTCCCCAAACTTGGCAACTGCTGGCTGGAGAATTCTGGGAGTTGAAGTCCACAAGTCTTAAAGTTGCCAAGTTTGGAGACCTCTGTTAGATGATAGGGCAAGTGAAACCCCCCGACTTCTGTTGAATCAAGGTACAAGAACCCCCATCAAATCAATTTGTCCCTGCCTAGTTGCCTCATTCCCAAAACACTGCACAAACCTTCCCATTCAGACTGTGTGGTTTGTTATTAATAAACAGATCAATAAAAAGTTCTTTTATAGCAGGGATGATTGTTTTATGGTGATGACGTCTGGCTAAATGCCACCAGAAATCATTGCTTTTGAGTCCAGAGTTTCAACACAGTGGCCAGCCCTAAGAATATCTATAACCTCACCTTGACTCCTGGATTCAATCACTTCCCGTGCAGGTGAAGGTTTTCTTTGAAGTGATAGCATCAAGGCTGTGGAGATATGACATGATTATTCCAAGGACAGCGGGGAGGCAAAGCTCTGGTGTCACTATCACCCCATCCAAGGATGCCTATGACAATTAGCTTTGTTTGATTCCATCCTAGCTGAGATTCATCCTCCAAAGCACCTGAAAGTAGAACAAGAAAGAAAGGGTGGAAACTAATCAAGGAGAGAACCAATCTAGACCTAAGGAGAGATTTCCTGATAGTGAGAACAATTAACGGGTGGAATGGCTTGCCTTCAGAAGTTGTGGGTGCTCTATCACAAGGGAGGTTTTAAGAAGAGATTGGACAGCCATTTGTCTGAAATAATATACGGTCTCCTGGTACAGCAGGAGGGTGGCCTAGAAGACCTCCAAGATTCCTTCCAAATCAGTTAATCTGTTATCCATTCATACATGGACATTCATGGCTAGCTTTGTGCAGATTCAGCCAATAACAAAAATCTCTAGTTTGTACATGGTTCCATCAAGGGAAATGGTCTGTGTTTCTAAAAGGGGATGCTATGAAGGCTCACCTCATGGTGATATAAGAGCAGTGAAACATCAATATTTCTCCATTCTTATTGCATCCGCAGAATGTTGCCCAGCAGGCCTGTTCCGAGGTACCCGGTTGAACAAAGGGGGACACTGAGAGGCATTTTCAAAGTGCCTGGCAGCTAAAATCACTCAGATCTGTTCTCAAGCATAGTGCAGATCCTTCTGAGATGTCCAGTGATCTGGGAACAGCTTGATCCTGTTGGCCCTGAGGAACTGAGGAGTGTAAGCACAGCTACCTGTGAATTCGATTTGTCTCCCTTCTCGTTAGTCAAGACTGCTCAGCAACGGTTAATTCATCCCTGAGAAAGAAGGCGTCCCAGGACCTATGAAGGAAGTACTAGTGCACTCTCTTCTCAAGAGGCCAAGCGCTGGATCCCACCATTCTGGATAACTTTCTTCCAGACTCCCACCACCCCATTTTTAGGAAAGGAGGTGAAAAAGAAGGTCGCATTGTACCGGCCTTCAAACTTGGCAACTCTAAGACTTGTGGACTTCAACTCCCAGAATTCTCCAGCCAGCTATGGAGTTGAACTCCACAAGTCTTAAAGTTGCCAAGTTTGGGGACCCCTGCTCCAGAGGATCTTGGATAACATAGATTGTCTGGACTCCTTCCAGACAAGTTTCAAACTCAGATATGGGATGGAAACAGTATTGATTGTGCTTTTGGACCATCTCTGATGGGAGCAGTATTGTGGGTGGGTGGGGGGGGAGATCCATCCTGGTTCTTCTTAATCTCTTAGCAATGTTTAATATTATGGTATCCTTTTGGCTACCATATGTGAGAATGAGTGACACAGTTTTAAGCTGGTTCGCTTCCTTCCTCCAGGACTGATCCCAATTGATGTTGATAGGGAGTGAGAGGTCCCTCTTTTTTGGGTTGCCACAAGGCTTGGTAGTTTCTCCTCTCCTTTTCAACATCCACATGAAGCCGCTGGTTGAGGTCATCAGACACTACAGGATGAGGTGCCATCCGTATGCAGATAATACCCATATGTATATCTCCATTCCAGATGAAGCAAGAAGTGCTGTGGGGGGCTTGGTTGGGTGACAATGGGCTTCAACGGAACCCTGGTAAGATGGAGGTTGGAGGTGGGTTTACCATGTTTGGTCTTGGATGGGATAGCACCGCCCCAGACAGACCTGGTGTGTAAAGTGGTGGCCCTCCTGGACTCATGCCTCATGTTCAAGGAGCAGATAGCAGTCACAGTTAGGGGAGCCTTTGCTCAACTTCAGGTGGTACACCAGTTATACCCTTCCTGGATTGAGAAACTTTCCTTTCAGTCACTCATGTCCTTGTCATCTCCCGGATGGACTACTCCAATGTGCTCTACATGGGGCTACACTTGAAGAGTATCTGGAAGCTGCAACTGGTGCAGAATACAGTGGAGCAAGCGGTTTTGAGGGGCACATGTAACACCTTTGCTATATGAACTGGTGCCAGTTTGCTTCCAGATCCAATCCAGATGTTGGCTATCGTCTTTAAAGCCCTTCATGGCATGGGACCAAGATACCCGAAGAACCATCTTGTCCCAATTACATCAACGCATCCCACCCAGTCAACCAGGGAGAGCATGCTGTGTATCCCATCGGTCCAAGAATTTCAACTGACAGAATCTAGGAGAAGGGCCTTCTCAGCTGCTGCCCCACCCTTTGGAACATCTTAACCCCCCCCCCCCCCAAATGTGAGGTGAGGCCCCCACTCTTCTGGTTTTCCAGAAGGCCCTAACAGGACGATGCAGGCCTGGTGGTTCGAGGACCTTCCCACTGCCTTGCCAACCTTGAAGCCTTCTGAATTTTTAACTTCTTATTTTTATTTTTACTTTAAGTTTTAACTTGTTCTTTATTCTGTTTTTAATCTACTGCTTTGATTCGTGTGTTTTTATTATGTTGTATACTGCCCAGAGTCACTTGGTGAGGTGGGAAGTGTAGACATTTAATAAATAAAAATAAAAAGGCTGTTGGTCCTCCAGACTTTATATGGATTTTTTTGGGTGACTGTCAGAGCAAGTTTCAATTTTATAAACCTATGTGCATTCAGTGTTTCTCTTATTGGCAAAACCTTCAAAGCCAATGGTTTTACTCAGCAGATCCCCTTTGGAAGAAAGAACACAAGATCTCAAACCAATTTCCTGATTTACTAATTTTATTGTCTGCTTAATTATCTTCCCGCTCCAAATAAATCTTCTTTTATAAATAATATAAACTAATAACAAAATCATATTGATATAAACAAGAATAAGTTAAAATAAATAAGACAACGGGATAAAAATACCAGAACAATGAAACAAGTTGAGTTTCCCCACGGGTGCTTGGGGGGTAGAGTGACAATCAGCTTCCTTTCTCCTCCAAGCACATCAAAAAGCCCATAGATTTATTCCTTATGAACATTATTATTTAATATTTTGGTAGGTAAAGTGCGTGTTCCTTACAAATCCAGAAGGAGACCTGAAATTATCGGTATCCCCTCCTACAAAATATGTGACCTACTTGTGATAAAAAAGAAAAAGAAATAGAAAGAAGTTATGGCATATGGTGGAGGAATTCTGTATTACAGAACAAAAAAAGATGCGACTAGGAAAAAAAAGAGCATAGACATAAATCCAGTGGGGAATTTCAAATCATAATTCTGAGCTTGGGCCGAGGACTATCTTCACGGCAGCTCCCCGTATTTGCACAATCCTTTTGTTTAAAAAAATCCTCCAGATTCAGGACTTGAAATTGCCATTTCTATTTCCATCCTTCACTGAGAAATGACGACAAGTGATTGGAATATCATTGTGTGATCTCTGATTGGCCTTGCAGGGTGATCCCTGATAAACTGAGATGATTGGCTGGGAAGAAGATGAGCCAGTTTTCATAAAAATGATGCTAAAGGAGCAGCAGATTTGGGCATTGAGTAATTGCTGTATAAGAACGAAAGACGTTCACAAAGAGGATAGCAATAGCGCTTAGACTTATATACCGCTTTACAGCCCCTTCTAAGCGGTTTACAGAGTCAGCCTTTTGTCCCCAGCAATCTGGGTCCTCGGGATGTGCATAAGACACATATTCTTCTGAGAAAATGTCCACTTTCCCAACAAAAAGGGCTCAAGTCGATATTAGTGCATTAAAAAAACGTCCATGATTACTTTTGCACTCCGTGATTTAAGCAAACGGGATGCCTCTTCTCCCAGAGCCCCTCCTCCCCAACTTCATGCACAGTGACACCGTGTAACAATCATGTCATCGAAGAGTTGGGTGGCCACTTTCCCGTCATTGCCATAATGCATAAGCACCATTGGCTCATAGGCGGCGGGAACACAACACGGTGCCGGAGTCTCCCCAGAAAGGCTGTGCAACCTGGCCTTGATCTGGGCATGCATGCTGGCTGGTTTGTAGTTGTGTGGGCAGGAACCCTCACAGAACTTCATAGAGTAGCTTTGCGGGGCCACCACCCAGTCCGACCACCCAATGGCTTCGAAGGAGACCTTAAGGGACCTCAAGCAGCACTTCCCATCACCCTTCCTGCATTCTTCCTCATCAAGCTGCCTGGCCTTCCTTACTGCCTTTCGAGTTTCGGCCTCGATCATCAGGGACGGCATCCCTGTCCCTTCTTCTGTGATGCTAGCAGCTAGCCACGCAGCTTTGTCTGACCTAAATTCCAGGCACAGGTTCAGCTTGGGCTCCAAGCTTCCTACCCATTGTTCTACAACACCCGTCAGACTGAGGCTTGGTGAAGTCCTTGATATCTCTTGGGAAGTGAGCAGCTCGGGGGTTACTTTCTCCCTTTTGGGCAGTCGGTAGAGATTCACACGTACTGGCCATGTTATGTTGGGCACAGCGTGGCTGGGAGTATCTAGCCATTCTTTGAAGAGAGTCAATTTAGCTCGGAGAATGTTAAGGTTCCAATGAAGGGCTGCTGTCCTGGAGAATTCCAGATGCACGTGGGTTGCAGCCTGAAGATTTCCAGATGTGGACTCATTTGTGTGCACAACTGTACAGAGAGGAAAACAGATAGAACAGGTTATCTTTAGTTGCTAAGTTACTGTTACTAACCCAGACACGTGGTTCATATAGCAGTGCTTGGCAATCTTAAGATGTGTGGACCTCAACTCCCAGAATTCCCCAGCCAGAAGGGAGTTGAAGTCTACATGTCTTAAAGTTGCCAAGGTTGAGAAACACTGCCGTATAGCAAAACTACCACCTCGATCACCACTTCCTATTGCTGTTTTCTGAAATGGATATGCATTGCAACCACTTTTGGGCTTAGAGTTACTTGATCTTTGAATTATATTCTGGCTGATGCACTGTCAAGGTGACTCTCAATTAGATTTTATTAAAATTAAGTGTAATGTACTATATTAAAACAATTAAACTAATTAAATGCACTATACTTATTTATTATGCTATACTCTGTCGGCCCTTTCATTGTATCCTTGTGTAATTAATAATCATCCCTTTGGTGGGAAAACAAAAATATACAGTTTGATAGTGGAAACTGCAGCCAAAGTTTAGGGGGCTACTTGCAGCCCAAGAGACACAAGATCAGCATCCTACCCTATAATTAATCCACTTTGTTGCCGCAGCCTCCTTAAAGGATGCTTGGAAATCGGGAGCGATGAGATGGAGTGAAAACTTTTTTTTCAGAGATTTCCCCAGGTTTCCTTCATATTATTTCTAACAAAAATACCTAAATTATATATTTGCATAGTAGTAATATAATAGTATTTTTAACAAAGAAAACAGATCTAAAGGAGACAGAAAAGGAAAGACAGTTTGATTAGTGGTTAAGTTGCTGGTCTAGAAACCAGGAAACTGTAAGTTCTAATCCTATCTTAGGCATGAAAGCTGGCTAGGTGACTTGGGGCAACCACCAAGAAACTGTGAGTTCTAGTCCCACCTTAGGCATCAAAGCCAGCTTTATGATTTTGGGCCTATCGCTCTTTCTCAGCCCAACCCACCTCACAGGGTTGTTGTGAGGAAAATAGAAAGAGAAAGGAGTATTGTGTGTGCTCATTGTCTAGAGTTATTTATAAAAATAAGAAAGGTGGGATAAAAATGAATTTTAAAATGTAGATTTATTTGCTGAATGGGTAAGCAAACAGAAAGCTTTATTAAGGATAAAATGGCCAAGGATTCAAAAAATAAAATACAATAGATCAACTATAGATTGACATGAAGAGTAAGTATTATGATGGAATAATAGTTATAGTCAAATAAATGATTAACAATGATAATACTGTAAGTGGGGACTATGGAAAGGATGCACAAAAGATTTGTAATCAACCGACACACTGTATATATGTAACTGGAAGGTGGTTTTATGTTTTATGTTTTGTTTGTGTATGTTTGTCTAAAATAAAATTTCTTTTTAAAAAAGTATTATTTATTTAGATTTATATGCTGCCCATCTCACTATGCCAAGTGGCTTCTTCACTAACCTTTTGAATTCTTGGAGAATGCTAATAAATGGGAAGGGAGTATCAAGCAAAGATCATGAGTGGCTCTCAGAAGCTTTTGAAAAACACCCTTAGCAAAAGGTCTTCCAATATTTGAGGGGCTGCCACAGGGAGGAAGGGGTCAAGCTATTTTCTGTAGGCCAGACAAGGAATAATGGATGGAAACTGAACAAGGAGAGATTCAACCTGGAAATAAGGAGAAACTTTCTGACAGTGAGAACAATCAACCAATGGAACAGAAGTTGCCCTCGGAAGTTGTGGAAGCGCCATCGCTTGAGACTTTCAAGAAGAGATTGGACTGCCATTTGTCAGAAATGGTGTAGGGTCTCCCGCTTGGGCGGGGGGTTGGACTAGATGAGGTCCCTTCCAACTCTGACTATCAAAAGTTGGGAGTATATTTAATAATCACAGGAGAAATGGAGCTTGGGAGCAAGTCCAAACTTCATATGCTATAATGCACTGAAGTAAATGACCAGGGATTGTACTGAATAGCTCCATAAAAATAGAAGCTCAGAGTGCAGTAGCTGTTCAGGAGTTGTTGTTTGGTTCACACAGGACTTGAACTATGGAATTTGCTACTGCCAGATACAGACTAGAACATGCAGTAGAATGGTAGGGCTGGAAAGCAGAGGTGGGAATCAGCAGGTTCTGACCAGTTCTGGACAACCGGTAGTGGAAATTTTGAGTAGTTCAGAGAACCGGCAAATACCACCTCTGACTGGAGATTTTACAGTATCCTTCCCTTGCCACGTCCACCAAGCCACGCCCACATTTGAATCCCACCACTGCTGGAAAGGATTTCAGAGATCTTCTAGTCCAGTGGTGGCTAACCTTTTTCGGCTCCCATGCTGAAAATTTCACGCCCGCACGCTTGTGCCCGCTAGCATGCTGCCCCCCCACGCCACCTGCATATGCATGCACGACCTCCCTCGTGCACAGCACATCTGCATGTGCGCACAATCCCCTTGCATGCAGCACATCTCTGCGCATACATGTGCATCTCCCGCACACACACCCTCTGCCTCCTGTGCATGTGCACCTGATACCCCACAATCAGCTGTCGGGTGGCGGCGCACACGTGCATGCGCAGTGGGGCTCTTCCAGGCGACCTCTCGTGTGCGGGGGGAAATAGCTCTGCGTGCCACTTCTGGCATGTGTGGCATAGGTTCGCCAACACGGTTCTAGTCCAACCTCCTGCTCAAGACTTTATACCATTCTGGTCAAATGGCTGTTCTGTCTATTTTTGAAAACCTCCAACTAAATTAAACTAAACAAGAGTTCGACTAATTTGTGCAAAATACAAATTATCAACAATTATGGATATGCATAATATCAGCAGTAGGATAATTCTTTACATAAGGAGGCATAAGAAGAACATTATTATATTATTATATTTCTGCCTTAAGCATCCCAAAGACAACTTGTTGGCCGCTGCAGGAACAAAATGCTAGACCAGAGGTGCCTTTGCTCAGATCCAGGATAAATTCTTGATATAGGCTCACAAGTCACCTTAAACTTTGAAGACACTTTTTCAGATGAAGCCACAATCTGAGTTCAACTGTAATGGCAACTGTTTGATGCACATATTCTGCCAGGAGTTTTGTCTGGCAAAAACATTTTTATTTATTCAGATAATGAACACATTGTTAGGTTATTTTTATCTTGTTGCACTAAATCAATGCTTACAATTGTTACATTTTTATCTTTATTGATTTTGTTGGCTTTATGGTGATAGGCAGGATAGATGAATAAAATGGATAGAGGGACAGAGGAGGAGGAGGAGAGAGAGACCAGTTAGACACAAGAAATAACAAGATCCAGGCATAAGGCAGTATGTCTTTTTATTGTCTATATACTTGGTTTTGGTTTGTTTATAAAGCTACCTGCATTGTTTCTGCTGGATAAAAGTCTGTTAATAAATAAAGTTCTCAAGAGCAACAAGAATCATTCTTAGGCAAGTATATTGTATTGTGGCATCAATATAACCTGAGCCAGAGCAACTCAGAATGCCCACCTTTGAAGCTATATGCCCCTCCCAAGGTGAGGTTTGCACCCACAATTTTGATCTTCCAAAAGGGCTGGAAGTCATGGCTCTGCCAACTGGCCTGGAGTCTCAGTGGGGACATTATGTTTTGGAGGTGGCTAATGGATTAGATACCACCTTCTCCTGGTGTGCATTTTGTTCCCTTCCTCTCCAGTCTTGGTCAATTTTATTTATTAATATTTATTTTTTCTCTATTGTTTTAATATTTTATATGGGAATTTTTTTTACTGGGGGACATTGAGCATTTGGCAAGATGGGCAGCATCTAAGCTTCGTTAAATAAAATAAAATAAAATATTGGGACAAGATTATAGAGTCACAGGCTCGAAAGGAGCCATTTGGGGGCACAGTGTAGGAACCCATATTTAAGCATTTCATACCTATAGGTAGATGACCATGTAATATTTGCTTCAATATATCCAGTAAAGGATGTCTACCACCTCATAGAGTATATGGTTCATTCGTTGAATTTAAAATTTTCCTACATGCAGTTGAAATCTGCCTTCTTATACCTTAAATCCCTCAAATGCCCTACACTCTGGTCTGAACAACAATGAAAGACCACACAAAAGTAATTCAGAGAAATGTTCAACATGTCTTCATTCATAGAATATAGGTGCCTGCATCTGTTTCACCTGTCCTGGCTTCTCTTCTCTGTCTTCTCTTCCTTTGCACAGCTTTAATTTTGACATTTTCTGAAAATCAACATTAAGGCAACCTTTGAGCCCATGGCGTGTACACACAAGATATGTGCACGCAGTCCTTATAAGTTCCCTACAAGCTGCTTTCTAAGAACTAATCCACCTGCTCAGGGAAATGTCTGCATTGCAGCAGAAGCTGAGGCAATTCACTGGATGCTCAAGCAAAGGGGAAAGGCATATGAGACATGCCCCCCTCCCAATTCATGGAAGACCCTCTGAAAAAGACGAACACTTACATTCAGGCCTCAAAAGATGAAGAGTGGCGGATGGTGGCAGCTTCGTTCGATTTGCTTGGAGCTGTGCTAGCAGTTCCTGGTAATGCAATTGTGCCCTTTGAATCTCTTCTCGATCCAAGGGGCCCCGGATGGTTGGAGGCATCTCCAAGCCCAAACTCACCAGGATGCTCTGCTTAACAGCCTCTATCTGGAGCTGGACGTCATGACCCCTGTGTGGCCACGGATCCACCCTGGAAATGAAAAGCAGAAGTACCATTCCCAGACCTGGGATGAGGCTCCTGAAGTAGCACGAGAAGAAGGCTGGCATTGTGCCTATTGCGATGACCGCGTCTTGGGGCAATTTCCCTAATTCCATTGATCGAGGAAAGGTGCTTTCGCTATCGCTACTGTCACCTGCACCAACAATGAATACACTTGAACTTGACCAGATCTCCCTTTATAAAGATGAACTTCGACTGACTCACCTCGTCGTTCTTAAACTGGCGTCAAAGCTGTAAACATGATTGCGAAGAGGAATCCAGGCTGTTCCCTTAGAGAGGTGGGGGGGAGGGGGAGGCAAAAAATTCTCCTCCAGGGAAAATTTGACAGTGGCAAACCTTGGGGAATTTACAGTATAGGTTTCCCACTTCACCTTCTCTTCTGTAGCCATGGAGACAAACACATACAACAGCTGTGAGGTGGCTCTGTGTGTGTGTTTTTTTTTTTCTTTTCCCCCAAACAGTCGAGCTGTATCATTGTCCAACATCTCTGGGTGAATTTAGAAATGACCACATGTGTCCACATGAGCAAGAGTCCTTACTTGGGGTTGTGCCCCAGCAGCATAGTAACCCATTTATTGGAGAATACTCAGTGTGAAAAAATCACCGTTGATTCATTCTTGATGCCCAGCCAGGACAGGCGAGGAAGTAAAATGAAAGTAGAGAGGAAAATATGGGTTTTCCTAGAAGGATCCCATTTTTGTTGAACTTTATTTCTGTGCCAGTTGCAGGACAAGAATTAACCTTCTAGCCTCCTATAACCCTAGCTTTGGCTGGGGTTGTTATTGGAACAGGGCTTGGCACATCAACAGGCCTTAATCTGGTTAGCATTATCATGGAAAAAGGATACTGGTAATCCTCAAATTACAATTATTCATTTAGTTGATCTGAGTCGGTCACTGGGACCAGATGTTTAGTCTTCTGAGCTTTCTGGAGCCCATCCTGAGGGAACTTATCTCCCCCCAGAATATGTCACATATTCACACATCTGGGTGAGAGAGAAGTTCCTTCAGGATGGGGAACCAGCATGAGTCCAAAAGCTCGTAAGACTAAACCAGGGGTCAGCAACCCCTGGCTCTGGAGCCACATTTGGCTCTTTCATCCCTCTGCTGTGGCTCCCTGTCGCCGGTTGGCTCCACAATTGATAGGGCTTTCTGTTAGGACAGGTAGAGGAAAAAGGATGCCGCACTAGGAGGAGACTCTATGGTGGGGGAACCGGACTTCCAGTCAGCTCCAGAATTGAACAGGGGGCTTCCGGTTAGGACTTTTGTGGCTCTTTGAGTGTTTAAGGTTGCTGACCCTTGGACTAAATGCCCAGTTCCGGTGACTGACCCAGATTGGATCCTGTAACATCATCCTGGGACATGTATATTTGCCTCCATGCATTCATTTAATGACTGTTTGAACTTACAACAGCCCCGAAAAAAGTGGCTTACAACCAGTCCTCACGTTTATGATCTCCCATGGTTACATGATTAAACTTGATTGCTTGGCAACCAGCATGTCTGGAGTCATATGATCGCCATTATGACCTTCCCAGCTGGCTTCTGGCAAGCAAATTCAGCGGGAGAAGCCAGATTTGCTTAACTAGTGCATGATTCACTTAACAACTGCAGTGGTTCACTCAACAACCATGGCAAAAGGAGTCTTAAAATCGGGCGTGACTCACTAAAACAATTGCCTTGCTTGGCAATGGAAATTCTTTTCCCAACTGTGGCCCTAGGTTGAGGACTACCTGCATACCAGAGGTCAGTTTCTAGAGGGTTTTAGAGAAGATTCCAGAAATATAGATTTTGGCCCTGGTGATTCTGCAGCCAACATGCGTGGAGACCATGCATGGGATGGGATTCTACCTTTTTGGCCTGGTTTGGGTGAACCGGTAGCTCCAAGGAGAGAACCAGTTCGGTTTGCTCTGTTGGGCCCACCTGCCCACCCGGGCTCTAGGCTGTGTTTTATATCCTGTTTTTCAAGCTCAGATGATTTGCATGACACAGTGGATTTCCACACATCAGCTGTTTAACGCACAGGGATTGCTAGAGAAGGTCAGTAGCAAACGCTCTGCGTGCGTGAAGCACACATTTTGCATGCTCATTGAACCAGTTGTTACACCGTTTGAATCGCACCCCTGATGAGTGCCAATACAATAAATATATTTGACAATAAATATATTTGATGATCGTTCTCCAGGGGCAACAGGCTCTGCCAAAGTGTTAGGCTACAGGCAACAGGCTGGTCACTGTGGGAAACAGGATGCTGGGCATCCATTTTCCCATTGCTGTGTTTGGAATGACATCACCACTAATGTTACTCTTTATAGTTTAAATATGACAGAAAAGACATGGAAAGGGGTAGGGGGGAAAGACAGCAATATAGAGACATTTCATCCGAGACACACCTAGGTTCCTTAATGAGAGAGCAACCTCCCCTGTTCAAGAGTAAGGATACCTCTAAATATCAGATTCTGGGATCTAGAAGAGGTCATTGTTCTGTATTGGGTCTCTTGATTGAACAGGAGATTAGAGTAGAACAAGCTGTCCTCAACTTTTGCAGCTTGGCGGCCAGGCAGGGCGGAGAGAGGGAAACCGGCCCTCCGCTTGTGCATATTGAACTGTGTGCCCGTGTGCCAGTCAGCCCCTCATGTGGCCCAGTCCCAAGCAGGTCATGGCCTGGTAGTGGGCCGTGGCCCAGGGGTTGGGGACCCCTGAACTAAAAGGCCTCCAAGATCCTTTCCAAGTCTGCTATTCTGTTAGTTGAGTAGCCCCTACATAGAAACATGTTTTTTTTACGTTTGAATGAGGAAGATAATTCCAATGGTCTAATGGTATGGCATTTTACACATAATTATAGGTAGTCCTTGATTTGCAACCATTTGTTAAATGACTGTTCAAAGTTACAACGGTATTGAAAAGTGACATGATCGTTTTTCACATGATGGTTGCAGCATCCCATGGTCATCCCAAAATTCAACTGGTTCAACCATTTGGCAACAGGTGTCTTGGGTTCATATGATCACCTTTTGCAACCTTCTGACAAGCAAAGTCAATGGAGAAGCTGGATTCATTTATTAAACATTTTACTAAGAACTGCAGTGATCTCCTCAACAACTGTGTCATGAAAGATCATAAAATGGGGCAAAACCCACTTAAGAACTGTCTTGCTTAGCAACAGAAACTTGGGGCTCAATTGTGGTCATTAGTCAAGGACTGCTTGCATTTCCTTTTCATGCAATAAAGCAAGGGGTCTTCAAACTTGACAGCTTTAAGACTGAATCCCTCCTCCAGTCATGTTAGCTCAGGAATTCTGGGAATTGAAGTCCACAAGTCTTAAACTTGCCAAGGTTGAAGACCTCTGCAATAAAGCATACTGTTTTTCTGCTAAATCTATTTTTTGGGAAATACTAGAAATGATCCGTCACAAATCTCTAAAACAGCAGAATGGTTCTGTTTAGAACAGTTTTTCAAAGTTGACAACATTTTAAGATGTGTGGACTTCAACTCCCAGAATCACCTCACATCTTAAAGTTGCCAAGTTTGAAAACACTAGTGTAGAATATATAGCATATATCTGTGTCTGCCGTTTGTCCAAAAGCACATTACCAAAGTGGGAAAAGTCACAATAGGACATAAAGCTCATCCCAGCCCTAAAAGGAATAATTCTAGTTTCTTTCAGAGGTGATTCATTCATTATTTGCTTCCAATGTTTTTAGTTGGTTTAGATTCTTGTATCAAATATGGTGAGGAATTTTTTTTGTCTCACATGGACTGGAGGCAGCCAGTGGTGAGGTAAACCTTCCTTCAAAATCAAACCATAACAGTGGTAGGATTCAAATTTTTTTACTACTGGTTCTGTGGGCGTGGCTTGGTGGGCGTGGCAGGGGAAGGACAGTGTACAATCTCCAGTCAGGGGTGGTATTTGCCGGTTCTCCAAACTACTCAAAATTTCCGCTAGTGGTTCTCCAGAACCGGTCAGAACCTGCTGAATACCACCTCTGGATCATAAGCTATTAGTTGTTGAAGAGACCGTGTAGGGATCCAAAGGGAGCAGTGAGTTCTTTCTAATCAAAGGAACGATTTTACACAAAGTTGTTTTGATCCACTGTTTGGGTGGTATTTCATTCCATACGGTCACATCTTGTTTTATTGTCATGCCTTGCTTGTCAGCTCCTGAGGTGTTGGGTAGTTGGCTCTGACCTTTTCAGAAAGAACATTCTGCAGCATGACAGCATTCACCAACTGACCATATTGGAAGTGGCTCAACTACAAGGGCTTCTGAAACCTCATAAAAACATTCAGATGAAAATCAGGCCTGAATATTTTGAAAATCCACTTAACATTCTGACACATACAGAAGGAAAGAATGCTCCTTCTCTTCTGTCTGCCAAATAGCTGGAATAGAGAAGACAACAGAGTTGGAAGGGACCGTGGAGGTCTTCTAGCCCAACCCCATTCTCAAGCAGGAAACCTGGTACCATTTCAGGCAAATGATTGATTGTCCAATCTCTCCTTAAAAACTTCCAGTGTTGAAGCACCCACAGCTTCTGGAGGCAAGTTAATTCCATTGATTAATTGTTCTAACTCTCTGGAAATTTCTCCTTAGTTCTAGGTTGCTACTCTCCTTGATTAGTTTCCACCCATTGCTTCTTCTCCTGCCCTCAGGTGATTTGGAGAATAGTTTGACTTTCCTCTTCTTTGTGGGCAGCTCCTTAGTTATTGGAACACTGCTATCATGTCACACCTGGTCCTTCTTTTCATTAAACTAGACATACTCAGTTCCTGCAACTGTTCTTTATATGTTTTAGCCTCCAATCCCCTAATTATCTTTGTTTCTCTTCTTTACACTCTTTCTAGAGTCTCAAAAGTTGTTTTGCATCATGTCAACCAAAACTGGATGCAGTATTTCAAGTGTGGTCTTACTAAAGCATTAAAAAGTGGTACTAACACTTCATGTGATCTTGATTGTATCCCTCTGTTAATGCAATCTAGGATTGTGTTGGCTTTTTTGTCAGTTGCAGTAGACTGCTGGCTCATATTTAAATGATTTTCCACTCAGAGAACAGGTAATTGGGGAATCCTGCTTTTAAGCCTGTTGACCAACATTT